CCAGTACCTCTCCAACGTGCCCCCCGTTCTGCGGCACACGCACGGGTGGAGCGTGGGATGGAGCACGGAGACGTGAGACGGACACGTGGAGAGCAACACACGGATGGACACGGGAACGTGGTGCCCGGGTGGGGGGGGGCTGCACCCCGCGCCCCCCCCCCAGCCGCCGGGAGGGGACAGGGGGCCGCGCCACTCACGTTGACCTCGGTGACGGCGATGTCCACCACGCTGCCCACCACGATGAGTGCGTCGAAGGTGTTCCACGCGTCGCAGAAGTAGTGCTGGGGGGGGGGCACGCAGGGGGTGAGCGGGGGGGTGCTGGGGGGGGGGTCTCTGCGCCCCCCCGCGCCCCCCAGCACCCACCCGCGGCTTGAAGGCGATGATCTTGAGCAGCATCTCCACGGTGAAGAGCCCCGTGAAGACCATGTTGAGCAGGTCCATGACGTAGTTGAAGGGCTTGGACTGCTCGTAGTGCTGGGGGGGCGAGGGGGGCACGTGGGGGGCTGCCCCCTCCCCACATCCCCCCCCCGGGCCCCCCGGCGCGGCACCTGCACGGCCAGCGCGATGGTGTTGAGCAGGATGAGCACGAACATGATGTACTCGAAGGCGGTGGAGTTGACCATGGCCCAGACGCGGTGCTGCGTGCGGTTCTTGGGGATGTAGCGGCGCAGCGGCTGCGCCTTGAGCGCGTACTCCACGCACTGGCGCTGCGGGGGCGTCACCGTGTCCCCCGCGGCCCCCGCGGCCCCCGCGGCCCCCCTCGCCCCCCGGCACCGGCACCTGGTTCTTGTCCAGCTCGCAGTTCTTGTACTCGCTCTCGCCCTGCGCACGGAACGTGATGATGACGAAGCCCACGAAGATGTTCATCATGAAGAAGGCGATGACGATGATGTAGATGATGAAGAAGATGGAGATCTCCACGCGGTAGTTGTAGATGGGGCCCTGGTCCTCGGCGTTGGCGTCGATGGCCTTGTACAGCAGCCTGGGGCACGGCGGGGGGGCGTCACACCCCCCCCAAAACACCCCACCGTGCCCGGGGAGGGGGGAGCAGCAGCTCCCAGTGCTCCCAGTGCTCCCAATGACCCCCCCTCCCCCCGATTCCAGGGAGTCTGGAAACTGACACGGAAACGATTGGAAATAAAGCAATGCAGGTGACCAGAGGGGGCGGGTCGAGATGGTGACAAGGGCGGGGCTGAAGTTGAGGGGGCGGGGCTGAAAT